CACTGGTGTCTGGTCAGAAAGAAGCATCTGTTTGCAGCCAGGCTGGAGAAAAGCCGATCAATGATTCTGGTCTCAGATCTGTAGAATGGGACATGCTAAATGCTATTTACATTTAGCCTTCATCTTGCTAACTAGTGGAAATTATGTGGCCTTTAAAGACAGTTTTCCCTATGGCCATTAGACTCACCAATTTCTTTAGAACATAAAAGGAAGCAGGGGAAATTTACTGACAGAACAGGCGGCTTCATAATCTGCTTCAGTGGAGTTTTTGAGATTGATTAGTTTCGCTCAAGTCCCAGATAATACTGAAAGACTGTGCTTATAGAGAAAAATCACCACATGATCAATTTCAATTTCTACAGACACAGGATAGGTTTAAGCAAGGGCACTGTCACACAAGTTGAGGTATGATCGGTTGATTAGTGCTAATAAACACAAAGATGGAAGAAGGGTGATGTAAATATACATAGAACTGACTGGATTATTAGATGAATCTTACCGTTTCATAGAATTTTTCCTGATATAGGGCTGATGGCAGAAGCCAGGCTGTTTTGATTTGGGAGTGTAGAAACTTTAAAAAACATTTTTGTTGCCCCCACATCCAAAAGAAAAACTTGTTTATTATAAAAATTTAGAAAATACAAATAAACTAAAAGAAAAAATAAATCGCCACCATCTCACTTCCTACAGAGAACCACTGTAAACTGACTTATGTACTTCATATAAGGTTGACTTATATACTTCATTTTTCCTATGCTCAAATACACATTTTTATTAAAAATAAATTCATACTGTATCTATTATTTTTAAAACTACTCACTTAACTACTTTTCATCTCTTCATATCAATACTACAATATCCTTTTAAATTAATTAGTTTTTAAATACAAAACTAACAAATGCTTTTATTAAAATTTTCAGAGTGTAAGATAAAATGTTAAAGTATTTCTGTTCTCATACCTCCCAGTCTCACTGTCCTGAGGTAACCCTATTTCTCTCCAAAGCTTTCTATATACACGTGCGCACACACACGGATAGTATTCAATTAATTAATATATCACAAAGTACTCAATCACATCCTGTTAAGTGGAAATTTTGGGTTTTTCCACGTTTTCACTGCAGTGAACATCCTTTGGGTTAAATCTTTGCACGCAACCACGATAAATTCCTTTTCTCTTAACTTCTCTTAAGATAAATTTCCTTAAGATGAAGAAAACAAATTGCTAGATTTTATTTTATTATTTAAAAAAATTTTTTTTTGGCAAGGCAACCCTTGGTTGACCTCACAGATTACAAGGACCTTGTCAGCTTACGATCCTTTATTTTTTAATTTTTTACACCTACAGCACCTGGTCTTCCTAGGTGGTCTCCCATCCAAGTACTAACCAGACCTGACTCTGCTTAGCTTCTGAGATCAGACGGGATCAGGCTTGTATAGGGTGGCATGGCCATAGACCAAATTGCTAGGTTTTAGATATGCACAATTTTAATGCTTTTGATATATGCAGCCCATTTACCCTTTACATAGCTTGTGCCAATTTCACATTCTCACTAGTAAGCAACATTGAATTTTTAAAAACTTTAAAAAGTATAAAACACATATGAAAAAAGTGTATAAGTCATGAGTTAGACCTGCACTGTCCAGTATGGTAGCCACTGGCCATATGTGGCTACCGAGCACTTGAAATGTTGCCGGTCCAAATTGAGGTGTGCTAGAAGTGTAAACTACACATCCAGTTTTGAAGAATTGGCACAAAAAAAAAATAAAATATCTCATTTACAATTTATAATAATTATTAAAATGATAATTTGGATATATTAAGTAAAATATTTATTTAAATTATTTTTACTTGTTCCTTTTCACTTATTTAATGTGGTTACTAGGAAAATTTTAATTACACATGTGGCATATATTTCTCTTGGACAGCGCAGAGTAGGACATGGTGTGACTCCTCAGGTAATAAAACCTGAGTGTACACCCGGGCTGTACACTCCTAATCTGCTTTCTTCCTCTTTCTCCTCCTCTCCCCCAACTGCCTGTGCCTCAGTTATACCAAAGGCTCTTAGAACTAATATAGTTCTTTTCACCACTCCAGTTCTTTGTCAGGAATGATCAATAAACATGTCGTGAGTATCCACTGTTGAAGGAATTGGGGTTGCACATTAAGACTGTGATGTATCAGAATCGACTGTTACGTTTAAACTCTAGGTTGCAAACTGAATCATTTGTTAGTTGTTTTGTTAGAATGTGTAAGTCTTTAGGCTTCAGGAGTTGCTGCTGAGTTCAGCACAATGGCCGCTGTCAAAATGTGCACACAGAGCACGAACAGACAGAATACACATACTTGAAAGTCAACTCATCGATGAAAGTTCACCATCTCTCTGTGCCTCATATATATATTTTTAATTTTCTGTGAAGCGAGGATGATGGAGTGGTGCACATAATTCCAGACAGGAGTAATCAGCACTATGTAAACACGGGGAGGAAGCGCGATGACCAGGATATTGCTGGGCTATGACAGCAGCTACAGGCTGTTTTCTCTCACTCCCCCGCCTCTGGAGGTTGACTTGGCCATCTCTCCCTCCTCATTAGCCCTCGGCTTTCCCTTCCGCACATACTGACTATACCACACACACCCTAGGTACACACAGCTTTTCATCAAGCACAAATGCTTTTCACAGGTTGGCTCTCACTCCCAATCACTGCAAGATAGAAGTGAAATGCAGATAAATAGAAAGAAAATGCCCCTGGGTGAGCATATGAACCTTGCTCCCTTTCTGCTCAGTGGTTGGCTTACATCTTGTTCTGAGTCACTTTTTCATGGGATTCAGCTTTAGAGTTAAAAACACCAATAACAAAAGATTAAAAAATACAAAGTAAAGTATTTGGGGCTCTATTGAGTGCTCGATTATTTGGAATGTGGCCAAACCCTTGCTTCATTCCACTGTTGCAGTCAAAGTGGCTGCTGCTGGGAAGGTAGCCAGGTAAGAGGAATTAAAATAAATAAATATCTCGGTTCCAGCTTGTCTTCATCATTCTTTTGTTGTTGTATTATGCTTAATTTTGTGAGACTAATGTTTCTAGCCCTTTGGAGCTCTCCAAGAGTTTTTTAATAAAATTGTACTGTGATAAAAGAGTCAGTATAACCTTTTAACAGGAAAAATAAAAGTTCTCTGTAAAATACTCTGCCTCCCATCAAAAAGTTTGTAGAGTAAGGTAATTATCTCATTGAAAGGAGTGTGAACTAAGAACTGAAGGTGTGCCATCTTTGTTCCATTACTGTTTTGACTTAGATGAACTTGAGTAAATGTCTTCTAAGCCTTAATGTTGCCATCTGTGAATTGGGAAGAGAGGATTTCCCCTTCTTTCATCATCAGATAGGCATTGCAGTAAAAGCAGCAAACTAATGCCAAGGCACCAATTATTCCGGCCTGCAACGGTCTTGACTGACATTTGAAATCCCTTCCCAACTCCAGATTCTGTGATTATAAATAATAAATGCTTTTACTTTTTCCAACTACTGTGTTTAAATATACTGGTAAAATCTAAAGACCTCTTTCTTATTACAGTAAGCTAGGCTATAATTTTTGCCTTATACAATCTGCTAAGCATCGCTGTTCCCTTTATAGTCAAGCTGAGCTTATCTTTCTTAAGGTCTTCTTACTTCCCCTTCTCTGTCCCATTGTCCAGGGATTAAGCAAATAAAAAGGTGGGGTAGCATTGGGTGAGCCAGAGAAACCAAAAACTCAACGAACCTCATTTTGATTAAAAGAACTGTTAGAACTTTTATAATAAAACAGTTCCCTCTCTTCTCATCGGCAGAATGAAGCCGGCATCTATGAAATGGCAGATTCCTAATGAAAACATGACTAAGTGCTGAATAGTATGGTATAAAAAATTATTACCATTTTTTAAAAGGTCTTATATACTATATAAATTTATTTTTATTTTCAGGTTAATTTTCCTATCAAAAGCGTTACTTCTAACCTAATTTACCTTCTCTAAGTTTTAAAAACATTATCAGATTAAAACAAAACGGCATAAATGGGAAGTCTATAGATTTCACTGGCCCATGGCTATAGATAAGGTTTCATGAATAATAACGGCCTAAATGACATTGATTCTTGCTCATGATAATTCATCCAGGACCTCCAGACCCCTGACGCCCTCCCAGATCTCCTGCCACGAGAGAGGGTCAGCAGGCCGTGTTCCCCGTGTGTGCCTGAGCCCCACTCTGTCTGTGGCTTTGGTAGAACCTGCTAGACTCTGATGCTTCTCCCTCCTTGGGCAGCAGTCTTTCTTGGTATCCAGAGAGTGCTGCCTGCCCTTCAGGCATTGCTGCTTCTTCACTGGTGGACACAGCCAAGTACACCAGATTCCCCAAGGAGCTGAAGTTGCCTCCCCTCCCTTTCAGTGACACAGAGCAGTCTTCAAACGGTGTAATTTGTGACTCGGTATTTTGCAGACATTTGGTGAAGTTGCTCTTTGGGTTTTTACTTTCTGGCTTCCCGCTCTCCATCAGTTGGACATGAAGGCCACTGAACAGGAAAGGATGGCAGAGAGATTCAGTCCGAGAACGAACCCCCTTTCATACTCAAGGTCGCCCCTCCATTCTGACAATCACCTTTGTCCTGAGACTGGATCTCTCCTTTCTTGACATGAATGATCTCCCAGGAGACTTCAAGAGCCTCCACCAGAACTTTTTTTCAGGTTTCCCCACAAGTTCACTCAATAAGCCTGAGCCTCCTTGCAGTGGGCTCATCCCAAACACAAGCCAAGATCCTTACTAAGTGAGGATTTACTCTTGTTTTGGTGTAAACCACCTGAGACCAACCCCAGGGATTAAACTTGAGGGTGAGAGATTGTGGGTTGAGGGTAGGGGCAAAGTGGAAGTCAGTGGTGGTGAGGATGGGGGTTGGAGGGTAGGGGAGGCTGAGAAGCTTCCAAGAAGGTGCCAGGGTGCTTTGTGTCTTTACTCAGGGTCTGCATTCTCTCTGCAGAATGACATCTTTGAGTGGTCTAGGGACCACCGGGTCCATCACAAGTACTCGGAGACCGATGCTGACCCCCACAATGCCCGCCGAGGCTTCTTCTTCTCTCACATCGGGTGGCTATTTGTTCGCAAGCATCGAGATGTCATCGAGAAGGGGAGAAAGCTTGACTTCACTGACCTGCTGGCTGATCCTGTGGTCCGGTTCCAGAGAAAGTAAGTGAATGGACACCACAGAATTGTCCCTCAGGGGACAGGACCATGAGACAGAGAGCACGATGGGCACATCCCCAAGTAGTTCTCCTTACAGCATTTACCCTCGTGATTTGGTTTTATTGTTAAAATTTCTCTCTATTTATTCATTTCCTTTTGATTTCTGTTCACACATTTGGTTTGAATTTGAATTTGAATTGGAAATGGATTCCCTTCAAGCCATGTCATTTCCTTTGGATCAATTTGCATGGCCGATTTCATGGAATCTGTTTCTGTAGTTCCCGCTCCCTCATTCATGCTTCCCTAGGGTGGCTGGGAGCTCGAGGATGTGCGCTCTTCTAGTGAAACGCCTGACTCCAACAAGACTGACTCTCTCCAGATATCCTGCACTGTTCTCTTGGAATTCATTTGCAGTGAAGTTTCCCCTCCCTTCACTCCTAGAGATGTTACATCAGTAGGTTTCTGTGCAGAGAAAATGTGACCATGTAACAGAGAACCTCAAAGTGCTTGTGTGCACTGATGGTCGTCAGCGGGGCATATTCCGTCATTTGCGGGATGAACCTACTTTGAACAAGCACATGGAGGGAGATTGCCTCTAATTGTGCTGGCAAGTAGACAGCAACGATACCATTGTTCACCTTTTAACTGGGAAGCTGGCACGGACTGTATCTGTGCTGGTCTGGGTCTGTAAAGTTGGCCGCCATGAGAGCATTTATAAATGGGCCTGTTGCCCTAAAGCAGTGAATTTATGTTTTCTATTCAAAGCTGAGCATATTGTTCCAAAGAGGGACAATTAATAGATCACCTTTTGGTTAGAGCCTTGAGATAATATGGTGAATAAGTGATTACTAGAGACCATTTCCACTGACGAGCAGGAGTCATTTGAGGACTTATCTAAATAGAATCTCCTAAAAATGCAAATGGAGGCTGACACAAGAGATCCTTGCATGAAATGAAGTATGGCTTGGAAATATGGTTGTTTCCCCCTCAGGCTCTCCTTTTGCTTCAGAAGGGACAGCAGAGCATAGTGAGAAAGTGGCAGACCATGGAGACAGACTGCCCAGAGTCAAACTCTGGCTCCCGCACACACTAGCAAAAGAATTGGCCACTCTGAGGCTCAGTTTCAGCTATAAAATGGGAGTAACAGCAGCACCTGTCGCCTACAGTTTTTATGAGAACATAATGAAAAAAAAAGTACGGGAACTGCCTGGCACATAGCCAGGGCTTAGATCAGTGACTTATTACACGGGTGGCTGCTCCTCCAGAGGACTCCGTGTGTTTCCATCCCCGGCTTCTACTGCCTGCATCTCAGGGTCTTCTCTCTGCTCCTTGGTACAGCTCTTTCAGGTGGACACACCCAGTATCAACAGCCAAAAGTTTTATAACAGAAAATAACAAGATATTTTCAATGAACAGCTAAATGATTTATTTAGATTTTTCATTTTACTATGAGAGTAAAATACTAAAGGTCATCAAAGAAAACCTGCAGAATTCAGAAACAGAAAGAAAGGAAATCATCCACAGTCCTAACACATAAACACAGCCACTATTAATATTCTATAGTAATTCTTTCTATGTTTTATGCATGTATTTGATATATTTTACATGATGGCCGTCCTACTGCACATGTAATTTGTGTCTCACTTTTTAACTTTAGATTATATTGTAGGTACATTGTCAAGTGCTGCATGAGTTCACCGGTTAAGTGTCATCGTTTATTTAGCCATCACTCTGTGACTGGATATGTATGTCATTTCCAATTCGTGGTATAAATGATGTTACTATACAATTAATAATGCTTTGGGGCAATCAGACTTTATATTAATTTGAAGAGCTAAGATGAGAAGGCAAAAGATCTTCCATTTTATTAATAAGAACTGAGCTGAATATAATAGTCTGGGTTTCTCTGACCATAAAACTGGAAGTCTTTTTCTTCTTTCCCTTAAAAAAACTGTGGTAATCTGATTCATTAGGTGTGTGTTCATGGTACATATATCTAAAGACTGTTTCTAAATGCAGGCCGAAGAACAAAGACTGTTTCAGCATGTTCCCTGAATAGTTATCTGAGAACATCTCTCATCCCCAGTCCAGTGACCGAAGTGGGTTGCGACTATCAGAAACCCTCCACTTGTATTATTATTTCATATACGTCATTGAGCTCCTGCTAAGAATTAAAGATTGGTCTCTGTCTCCTCCAGAATTTGCAGACTAACAGGGAACCCACAAAGTAATTTATAGACAATTATATCCTAGGGAAAGGAGTGCTATAATAGTAGTTCGGGGTACCATGGGAACACAGAGAGGGGTCTCCTAGCCCACGCTGCAGGCTGGGGAGGGTGAGAGAAGGCCTATGGAAGGAACTAACTTCTCAGCCAAGACCTGAAAGTTGAGAAGAAATTAGATGAGGATTGGGAAAAGGATATTTAAAAATCTGTCACTTCATAGGACTATATAGAGCCATCGAACTGTAGAGCTAGGAGGGACCTTACAAATCATTTAACCCATATTTTCCATTTTTCCTATGGGAAAACTAATATATGAATGTAGGTAGAAAGTTGGGGACAGAAGGACTTTCTTAGTCTGTTTGGGCTGCTGTAACAAACATACCGTAGACTGGGCAGTTTGCACAACAAATATTTATTTCTCACAGTTTCAGAGGCTGGGAAGTCCAAGATCAAAATGCCAGCATTATTTGATGTCTGGTGAGAGCTCTCTTCCTAGTTATAGATGACCATGTTCTTGCTGTGTCCTCACGTGCCAGGAGAGCCAAGGGAGCTCTCTGGAGTCTCTTTCATATGGGTACTAATCCTATTCATGAGGCCTCTACCCTCAGATCTAATCACCTCCCAATGGCCCCACCTCCTAATACCACTGGGGATTAGGTTTCAACATATGAATTTGGAGTGGACACAAACATTCAGTCTGTAGCAAATACTTACATCTCAGATTATTTGGTGAATGTTCTTTCGATTATATTTTGCTGGTTGAAAAGGGTTACACCAGTTCTCTGAAGAGCGGGTAAGCACTCAAGTCCTTTAGTAATTATCCAGTCCAGAGAACATAGAGATTTTTAATTCAAAACAAAGCTTAGAATCACTGAACTAAAGGGAGGGAGTTTCCAAGATACACAAAGAAGGTGCAGTGGTTTGAGTATTTTCACATTCCCGAAGCCAGCTTTACCGGTCCTGCCAGTAAGGCCATCTGAAGGAGACAGATCCTTCAAGGAATGAGTCTTTGCACTTAGGCGTGGGAGCTGGAGGGTGAATCCTGTCATCAGTGGCACTGCCACATCAGGTCTCAGTTTCTGCTGCTCTAGGCTGAGTAACAGAGAAAGGTACCCAGCTTGTTGGAGGCCCAGTCCTGTGTCATTTCAGTGGCATTTCTTATAGGGTTCTTCTTCTGGGCAGACTTCCCTCCTGCTTCCATATGGTGCTCTGAGGGCAGCAGTCCCTGTGCCAGTTTTGGTGGCGGGGATGTGCAACTGATTCTGCTGCCCTCCCAGGGTGCAGTGTTTGTGCAAACAGATCTATCTCAGTGCCACTTGTAGAGTTTCCTCCAACAGGCTAATGTGTAACTGACAGAGACCAAGGACTTAGAGCCTCCTCCTTCGTTCGGTACACTAGCACTAATATTGCAGTTGATTGATAAGCTTGTGCTTAGCCATCCTAATGATAACTCGCCAAAGAAAAGCTTGCCAGGGAGTCAGGCTTCATCAACTTTTTATTATACAATCTCATAAAGAAAGAAGATAGTGGCATTAAAGGGTAACGGGAAAGCAACACAGTGCAAGAGAAATTTTTACCAAGGCTGTTATAACAAGTAGCTAACTAGACTACTTCGAGTTTTGCTGTGTCAAGTTGTGAATGAAAAAAGAAAAAAGCAAGCATTAGGAGGTGAGAGGGAGATAAACCAGTGATATTGCATTTAGACCCTGGCAGCTTGGGCCTGTGCCCTAGGTCCTGTGCCATCCAAGGCCATGCTTCTCCCAGCAGAGTAAGGAGATCACAGAGACATGCCACCCGGAACCTTCCACAACTTCAGACACGCCTTGGAGGACTAGGATTCTGGAATTCCCTGCCAAAATGACTCTGAGCCCATCTCCAAAGCCTACACCAGCCTCTCCAGGCTCTGTCCTGGTGCGAAGCATGTGTGCCCTAGGGCTGAAAAGTGGCTAAGGAGCAGCGTTAGCCTGATGATGACCTTTGAAGTGTGAGCTTGGTGTCCACACAAAGCAGACGGAGCTAGGGGTAGGAAGAGAAAGGGATGGGTGGCCACAGGGCAAGGTGAAGACCTCTGCTCTTGGCCTGGACCCTGCCAATGTTGTAGATGAGCCTAGAAGGAAGCTACTTAGAAGGTTGACAACAGGTCTGTCAGTTAGGAATTGTGTTTGGCTTAGACAAGATGAAAGGTTATTTCTCACTAATGTGAAAGAATTATGGAGGTCCCAGGTGTGGCAGCAGCACATGCTCAGTAGAGAACAGTATTCTTTTATCCTTCTGCTCCACCATCCTTAGCTCATGGCTTTCATTCTTTCATTCTATTATTCAAGGTGACCACCCAGGAGCAAGTTGGGGATGGGAGTGGGGTGACACCACTCAGCTGAGTCAGTCGCCCCTAGGGAGCTTTCCCAGAAGACACACATAGCCTATCCACTTACCCCTCCGTTGACCCTGTCTGCAGTCAAAGGAAACCGGAAAGTGTAGTCTCTTAGGTAATACATTACACCCTTGAATCAAATCCTGGTTTTATTTCCGTTGAAGGAAAGGTGAATAGATATGGGGTAAGCAATTAGCAGTCTCTGCCATAGTTCCTTAATTGTTCTGCCTTGAGCAAAATAATTGGTCATCACATGTTCCTCAGTCTTAGAACTTTTTCTGCGAAGCAAGTGAGTAGCCTCTCCACTTCCCCTTAGTGAGCAGAAACGGGAATCTCAAACCCTGTTTCTGAAATGACAGAATGAGGATAAGATCCAGAGGCTGTTTCTCCTAATGCTTTGCTTATCC